ATTCAAATAACTTCAGAAGCCCAGTAGAAATTGATAACAGAGAGGTATAGTCGTCAGGGGCTGAACTTGAAGGTCCATGCCCCACCTAAAATAAGAGTGCAGGCTAAACAAAACTCATCAGTTGGCTGTGTATTTATTTTGGATCCCTGTTTTAAAGAAATAAAGTTAGGGAACATACTGACTTATTAGCATGTGAGGCTTTATTGCATAGTGGTCAATAACTCGGTCACAGTGCTTGGGTTAGAATCCTGGCTCCCCCAGTGATTGGCTGTGTGACCTTGGGCAAATAACCTCTCTCTGCCTCAGTCCTGCCTCTCATTGTAAAGCTTAAATGAATTGATTCATGTAAAAGTGCTTCGCACAATGCTCAGTACATACTAAGCATGCAGTAATTGTTAATGAAGATGACTTTGTAGTCACAGCTCAGAAGCCAGGAATGGCACTACTTGTGTATGCTGGGGTGGGGATTTGGATCTAGAGGACAGGGTGACACAGAACCTGTATGGCTTTGGCTAAGTGATAGGACTTCTCTGAGCCTTAGTCACTTGTCAGTTAAATGGAGCCTGTTAAATGTCCATAAGGCGTTGTTGTCAATGAGGTAACATTTATAAAGTGCCTGGCACTTAGTAAATGCTTAAGAAACTTAGTTGTAATGATTGCTGGGTGGGGGGAAGGAAGGGTTGAGTTTTGTGTAGGCAGAGTGTGCATGGTTCTGAATGGGAGAAGGACAAAGGAAGCCTGGGAGTACACTCACCTATGAATGAGAAAATGGGTCCTATTTGTGAATAATAGTATCTCTGGGCACCTTAGCTGGTGTGTGTGTGTGTGAGTGTGTGTGTGTGTGTGTGTGTGTGTGTATGCGCCACGGGGTAGGGACAGAGTACCTACCATCAAGAGACTCTAGGGTCCTCTCTGGCTCTCCTGAGGAGCCAGAGGGTTTTTAGTCTCCGTCCATGGCAGCACGGAGCCCCCACCCACCAGGACTTTTACCCAGTGTGCGACCTAGACGCCCCCGCCCGGCGCTGTGGCCCTGCGGCGTGTTCCCGCGGTGACGAGTTCGGTACTGCCTGGCACAGTGGAGTGTGCGCATGTTTGTGGAGTGAGCAAGTCGAGATGCGGCTGACCTTCCAGAGCGGCCCCGCGGGACGCGAGTGGGGGTGGCGTGGAGACCGCGTCGGGCTGCCAATGAGAGGGTGGCCCGAACTCTCATAGGGGCCACTGCACCCCATTCTGTGCCTCAGTTTCCCCATGTGCCCAGGGCCCGGGAGGCAGGTGCGGGGCGGGGGTGACCGGAGGCAGGTGAGCGCCGCCCCGGAGGTCGCAGGGGTGCAGGCCTGGGAAGGGGCGCCAGGTGGGGTGCAGGCTGGCGGGGGAGGGGCGGGCTCTGGACGCCGCCGCCGCCGCCG